CAAAATAAATAAAGGGTATTGTACTATATTGAAAAGATCATTTAAAGCTGAACTCTTGGCAGATATTAAAGGAACAAATGAATGTAGCCCTGTAATAATTAAAGGAGAAGTATTGGTAGAGTAAAATATACTCTTCCCAATACTTAGAGCTGGCTCTATAGATCAAGAGCTGAGCTATCGTGTGACCACTGGTCGCTCAGCTCACAGTCTTTTCCCTGCAGAATAGTGACCGTCAGTCTGCGCTCCCTGCAAGGATTCCCCCCTCCCCTCTCTATTCTTTCAGCGCTCATTGGGGGAACAGACAGGGGAGGGGGTGGGCACAGCTGGCTCTGGCTCTAGAGAGGCAGAGTCAGCTGTCAACCAGGTAGTGGGGTGGATCCCGACAATATGGTCTGGGCGTTTTTATATCCTAATGCAAAGAATGCATTATGGTAAAAAAACAGTACCTGATGCAGATAGGCAACGGGCTCTTTGGCCAGGGGTACCAACAAGGGAGGGGCCTTATGTGCCTACTACTATACTATATAATACTTTATTCAATCTATTTTTAAGTATGCTTACCTTCCACATTCCAGTGATGTCTGAAGATATCTAGTGGCACTCATTCTATCATAGCTCAGAGGAGGGAGAAGCACAGTCTCAACGATTTTTGGGATGGGATTTGCAGGCTCGGCACTCTCTCTTGTTATGGGGTTACCAAGTTGGCTGATTAGTTGTGGCAGAGTGGACATTTTTTATTTGTGTTTCAATTACAAAAAAAGAAATAAATTAAAGAAAGGCAACCATGGAAGTGCTGAACCTGTATTGAAAACAAAGATTCACCAGTCTCAGTACAAAAAGGAAAGAATTCTCCACTCATCCAGGTGATGTTTAAAGACAGATGGAGGAAATGTCAGGTGAATGTGCAGGGAAAGTAACATTCATCTTTTATTTACATGGGGTGTTACAGTATAGACCTTTGTGGTGCTACAGAATGTCAGGGAATCTTGGGTGAGTCTTTGACAGATTTCCACCAATGAAGCCGTAAATATTGAGAGAATGTTCACCAAAGAATTTTGACAAGGACTGATTTTTGAAGTTTCTGTGTACTCTGTAGAGTGTTGCATAACATTTCTGTGGTATAATCATAGCAGAATAAATTAAATATAATGTTCTCTTTCTTCTGTCAGTCAAAGATATAACGATTAATTATTCATGCTTCTTTATTTGTGAACTATGATGAGATATGCATTTCAGATACCATGAAGAACACAGTTTATATAACAGTTTCAGACTCAGCCCATTCACACCACTAGATTGTAATAAGGTGTGGCAATGCACGTTACATGTGTTGGTGCGCTGTGTTGCACCCCAATGCACCTCCGAAATGTATGTGCGCTGCAAACGCCTGGTGTCCTTTGCGCTGTGCTACGATAACTGCACCCTGCCCTATTTTCATGTGTGTTGCTGGAAGTTTCAGCCCACTCATTTTGAATGGTCAAATTAATGCAATGTGCAGCAGTGCACTACAATGCGTGTGATCCAACGCACAGCGCTGTGGTGTGAATGGGCACTTAATGAAAGTGGAAACAATGTTCAGAGCAAGTCTGGACAGCAAATACCTGATATGATGTATACAGTTAAATCTTATATAGTACAGGCAGCCAATGATTGGATGGAGCACATTCAATATTTTGTATGCTTTTCTTTGGTCTCCATTAGGAACACACTACATTTCTTTAATGGTAGCTTCTTTTTATTTCTGGACCACTTGAACTAATGTTCTGAGAATGCAATGTTTTACTGAAAAGACATACTTTTTTGTTAGCCTCCATTGCTTTATTATGATCTGTTAATGATAATTAGCTGACCTCATTCTAATTTTACAAAATATTGCAATTCACCCAATGTTGTCATCTCAAGCATTCATCTATAAAGGCATACAGTATATGTATTATTTGTTCTTTTTGAAGCTCTGCTGACCTCTAGTGCCAGTATTTGGTATTGCACTTTTCCTCATTACACCGCTTTGGCTATTGGATAGCCAGCTGCACTTCTGTAACAAGACAATGTTTGTAATTATTTGCTAATAAACATCTACAACTTCCCCTCTAAAACAGCAAAGCAATTGTTCAGTATACAGATATACAGTATTTAGGATACAGGCAGCACACTAGAGAACAATATTTCACTCATGGGTCTTTCAGTAGGTGCAATACACAACTTTCAGTAGGTCCTCATACTTTCTGTCTCATTTATCACACAGCAGGTGAAAGAAAATCCTTCTATCTGGAATACAAAAAGAGAATAAAAAACACGAGGGGGGTTTTAACCCCAACTATATCCAAAACTACCTACAGCAGTCTTTAGAGTGCGCTTTGGAGCTCTGAATCTTAGTAATCTGCAGGAACATTAAGGCCCCATTCACACTGAGCGATTTATCGCGCGGTAATCCGCGGATATTTACCGCGCGATATCGCTCTCCAATGCATCTCATGGGGCTCTGTCCGTCGCTGTCGCACGTCGCTACAGCAGGACCCTTTTTGGAGCTGATTTTGCCGCGATTCTAGGTTGCTCAATGCAACCATTTGCGCGGCAACCATTTGCGCGACAAACGTGCGATTTGCGATTCGCTCAGTGTGAATGGGGCCTTAGGCGCATTTGCGATTCGCTCAGTGTGAATGGGGCCTTAGGCGCATTTGCGATTCGCTCAGTGTGAATGGGGCCTTAGGCCCCCATTCACACTGAGCGATTCGCAAATCGCGTGTTTGTTGCGCGATTTGCATTTTGCGCGATATTGCGCGTTTGGCAAGCGATATCGCGCAAATGGTTGCATTGAGCAACCTAGAATCACGGCAAAATCCGCTCCAAAAAGGGTCCTGCTGTAGCGACGCACGACCCGCGACAGCGACGGACAGAGCCCCATGGGATGCATTGGAGAGCGATATCGCGCGGTAAATATGCGCGATAAATCGCTCAGTGTGAATGGGGCCTAACACTTCATGAGGGTTGTTTGGAAGGAGAAAGATCACCTCTCCACACTCACTCACGCCATACCTCCCAACTGTCTGAGATGCGAGAGAGGGACACCTTTCAGCATAATGTATTTGGGCGATAGATACAGCCCTGCCATACCTTCAGTTATGCCAACCATTAAAGGAGAACTATGAGGTGAGTGCTTTTCACTCACCTCATAGTTCTAGCCGACTTGTGACAATGAGACTGTCACAGGTCGGCTCAGTAGATCGGGAGGTGAGCGAACACATACCATCGTTCGCCTACTTCTCGATCCTGTCACAGCTCTCTGCCGTGACGGGGGAGGGACTGGATTCCCCCCTCCCCGCTCCGATCCTCCAGCACTGACTGGCGGAACGGACGGGGGAGGGGGTGGGGACAGCTGGCTCTGCCTCTAGATAGGCAGAGCCAGCTGTCACGCAGCTGGCCTTTAGCTGCGGCGTCTCAGTATACCGCGAGCTGTAGCTCGCGGTATACTTAGCTTAGGGTGACGGGAGGACGCTAGTTTGTTTCCTCCCGTTACCCTAAGGAGAACTATGGGGAAAAGCCCTAACCCCATAGTTCTCCTTTAAGAATTGATGTGCCAAAATCATTGGTGAAACCCCAAATTGTTTTTTTTCAACATTACTTTTTCTTTATACTGGCTTTCCAATATAGTAAACTGCTGCCGCTTGATATTCACATTGGCCTGTAGCTTAAGGTCAGGGAATGTATAGCTGTACTAGCTTGAAATCTTTCAATTAGATTACTGTATACATTGAAACACTTCTTCAAAACAAAAACTAATAACATATACATTGCTTTGAAAGTGTCAATATATTTCTAACAATATTATACTCTTTTACAGCTCTATTGTTTTTTCAGCATTTTGACTGTTTTCTTTTCTTTTCTTTATGGTTTAATGGTCACAAGATGGCGCCATTAACATTAGATGTCACTACATCTTTCTTGTCATGCGTGTATAAAATGTAGAAGTACAAAATTTAAATAGCTCTAGTATTTGATATTTATTTTTATTGGCCCATATTTAAATGAGTTGGAATGTGTATATACAGGTACTGTACATGGAGAGAGTTTCGGTGCCACACTTTTTTTTATTTGTATTTTCTTTTGTGTTTGAGGAGTGGGATTCCCCCAAAATCCATACCAGGTCCTTGAGAAGGATCTGGGATGGATTAAGAGGAAGACATCGCAGTAAATACGCCCCTGGGTTTGACCAGGAAAGGGGAAATGTGCACATGCCCACATGGATGGGGACAAGTTATCCAAGTCATATGTATTGTTACATATGTCCTACTATCAGACATTGAGAAGGAGGGACAACCTGGAAAGGAGAAAAGGCAACATATGCACTCCCTCTCTTGTGGAACTGCAATTCCCATGGGGCAAGACTCTGGCAGCTATAGCTTGCCTCCCAGAGGCATGGTGGGATTTGTAGATTCAGCACAGCTGGAGTGCCAAGGTTGGCTATACAGCATTGTTACCGATGGTAACAGAGATGGTGCGTGTAGTGGCCACAAAGGATGGCGCAGAGCAAAACCGCAGATATGTAAAGATAAGTCACCAGCACTCAGTGTTTCAATATGAAAATAAAGTTAGATGCATTGCTAACGACGTCACAACATTTTTTGGGCCACCGGGGTCCCTTCCCCAAGGCCACACAATCAATGCAACCTTATTTGCATATTGATCACTAAGTGCTAGAGTCTTATCTTCAGATGCTGCATCAGAGGACGCCACAATGTTTCCCTTAGTTACAAAGAATGACAGCTGGACACGCCCCCTGGCAGCAGAGTGACAGCTCCCTAACAGGCAGGCTAGGCTGTGATAGCCCGGGACAGACAATCTACACACGCTTCTCCGATGTTGGTTTGGGAAGCCACGCCCCCGACTCGCCCATGCAATAGATTGTTGTTGTATCAGGCCCCGCCCACCAATGCCCTGGTGAAGCTCGCCTCGCACTCCTCTCCCCATCATCCAGCCTTGGGAAGTCCGGGGAGCGCCGTGTCATGTAGCGGTGCTGTATGCCGGAGCGGGACATGAGGCTCTCTCGCTGTAGACATGGCCAACGTAAAGGTAGCTCTCCGGGTGCGACCCCTGAGCAAAAGGTAAGAGCCTGACAGCAGCAGTGGCGAGGTACTACGCGATCCTGTTGGATATCGGAGTTGATTAGGGACCCGAGTATCGCACTTTCTACAGATCATCGCAAGCTTAGGCTCCGGAGACTTTAACTTCTCATGTGCAGCTGCAGGTCTTGTGTATGCGTAGAGCGCACACATATATTGTAGAGTCGTATTATACTGAAATCAGTATTGTGGAAGCATAGTTTAGTCATAAGTGCCAGGAATAAAGATCTGATTCTTCTGTTTGTCACAGTGGATTACACTGGCTGAGGTTTGGCATTCAGCCTCTTCAGCTACACAGTTGTTCAGCTCGGACAGATGTTCTTTTGGGGGGTTAACAATCGCCGATGCGAATTCTGCTTTGTGAGCGAGGGTTTCTTGTGTTTTTTATTTTTAAGGTGGTACAGAATTTATTTATTTTTTAAAGTTGGAATAGAATGGGGAAGGTAAATTCACCCTCTCTGTACATCCCAGGCACCCTCTCTGCGTGCCCTTCCACGCGCCCTCTCTGCGTGCCCTCCCGGGCGCCGTCCCGGGGACCCTCTCCTCATGTCCCGAGTGGCTGTTGTCAAGGAGACAGAAAGTGATGAGATCCAAAGATTTGGGACAGTTGTCACTAAGGGCGTAACTGTAGATCATGGGACCCCATAACAAAACTTTGACAGGGCCTCTCGGTCCTATTACATCGTTTTGGTAAATCTAAAACTGTGCAATCTGACTGTACAATCTCTGCAGATATTCCAAAGGTATGTAATATGAGGACATGTCTAAGCAATCAGTTCAGTTAGTATTCAGTCAGGAAGGTGCTTGCATTACATAGTTGATGGTAGGTCCAAAGGTGATTGTACAATCATGTATATATCATTGTATAGAGCATGGTCAGCTTAAAGGTAACTTAACAATCAGATTGTATAGTGTATGGTCAGCCTAAAGCTGGCCATGCACCTATAAATTATCTGCAGATTTTCTATGGTCAGATGGTAAAAGTGCAACAGATTCCTCCATCTACGCTAAACTGTGTGGATGGAGTAATCTCCCACTGGGCCAAGCTTCAGTATGTTGATAGTTGGCCCCGCTGGCTGTCAAAATACCTGAACAATCTCATTGGATGCAGGCATTGTTCAGGTATTTGGAGGCCGACTAGCAAGATACTGAAGCTTGCCCCAGTGGGAGATTCCTCCATCCACATAGTTTAGCGTAGATGGAGGAATCTGTTGCACTTTTTCCATCTGACCATAGAAAATCTGCAGATCATCTATAGGTGTATGGCCAGTTTAAGAGAGGAACTTCCTTTTTATTTTGTACGGATTTGCTCTCATCTTGTTGCATTCCTGGGACCGGAAGTGAAGGGAAATCTCTCCAATAGAACAGTGAAAATCTAACGGATGGGTTTTAACCCTTTCCTACTCTAGCTGAAACAAAAAAAACGAACTTTGCAGAGGTAATTGTACACTTTAGGAGGCATGTCAGTGCATGTTAAGAAGACCAGAGAAGAGTCTTTACTTTCAGCCATGGACTCACTTTATTGAAAGTAAGTATCTGTATCCGGGTCTGTTAGCTTTGTGATTTGTGCCTTTAAAGCTGAACTCCGCGAACATGACCGGTCACATGGATGGAGGAGGTGGTGGAAGTAAGGGATAAGGTAAGTAATAGTAAAGGTGGCCATACACTTTACAACCACCGCAAGACCTTAGTCTTGCGATGGTTGTAAAGTACTTAAAAAAACGTATGATCTGCCCATCTTGGACAGGCAGATCGTACTTGCGATGACTGCAATGAGGGGCGGGCTTGCAAGCAGGGCAAACGGGCAGTGTGCGCGTGCGCACACCGGCCCGTTCGTCAGTTGTCGAACAAGCAGGCCACTCACTCGCCGAGAATTGTACGATTCCCGGCGGGTTTTCCAGCCTGCTTGTTCGATGGAAGACGTGCGACCGTACAGTAGAAACGGTCGCCGGCCTTCCATACACTGTACGATTCTCGTACGATCGCGGGATTTCCCGCGATTCTCGTACGAGAATCGTACAGTGTATGGGCACCTTTACTGGTACCCTAGGCAAAAATGAGCATTTATGTAGGGGACGGGGAGCCTCTCTATGGGTAGTTTTTTTCACATCCCCGGATTCCAGCTTCAGTCGTCTTTTATCAGTGGGAGATCTCTGACAAGGACTACAGGTGTTAATATCAGTTCTGTCTGTATCGTCATGTGGTAGATGTATTGGGAAGCACCTTTGCTACAATTTTCAGTCACAGCAGTAAATACAGTTTAACATTTGTGTTACATGTACAACATAAGAGAGATTTCAGTGCGGGATCAGTAACCCCAAAGTAATCTATATTCTTCGGATTTTCAGTGATCTATACATAGTGGAGTGGTCTTCTTTTATGGTACACTGTGTGGCTCACGGTTTTACTCTTCCTGTAAAATATAATAGATCCTCTCAGAGAATGAGGCATGCTTCCTTAAAATCCATTTCCTGTTGTATTCCCAGTTCTCCTTGTCTGGGTTTTAAATTGCTGCGTGAGAGGAGAAGCTTTGTAACCACAACCAGTGCTGGGTGCCTGAAAGTAAATTCCAAGGAGGGGGGACACCTACAGAATTCGCTTTCAAAACAAAGCCGCGTGTTTACTTTTTATCTGTAGCTTCACTTACACAGAATGCCGTATGTAGACCTGCTACAGCCCCTATTAAGTAGGAGAAAGATAGTGGGGATAGACAATGGGCTTTATTTGCAGTATTGTTTGTGTTTTCCTGTTTTAATTTATACAAGTCAAGCATAGTAGACATGTAAGCAGAGGAAAAATTTGGTTCGGTTATTTCGGAATTCGGATCCAAAATTGAGTTTGTGTTTCAGATTCAGACGAGATCCGAATTTTCGTTACTTTCCGAAAATGTTACGAAAATTTGTTGTGAATACCACAGAAAGCCATATACAGATATTAATACTAAAGCTGAATCTCCTAAGCCTGAATGGCATTCGGGGTCCGAATTTCCGAATGGCATTCGGGAATTCACGAATGCCATTCGGAAATTCGGACCCCAAATGCCATTCGGGCCTGGGAGCCATATACATATATTACTAAAGCTGAGGCTCCCAGACCCGAATAGCATTCAGGAGCTCCCAAATGCAATTTGGAAATTCGGAACCCGAATGCCCTATGGTGTCTAGGAAGCTCAGCTTTAGTATTATATGTATATACTGTATATGGCTCCCATGCTGCTGTAATGAAAATTTGTGTTCAGGCCCATTCAGATGCATTAAACCGAAAAACACATCTGATTGGCTAGAAAAGTCACATGCTCAATTCTTTTTTGTTTTGAACGAAATTCGGATGGGATTCCAAATTCAGAAACGGAAATTCGGATTCGGATGCATTGGGATACGGAAATTCGGATGTGTCTGAATTTCGGACAATTTGTCTGAATTTTGATTCGTAACATGTCTAAAGCATTGCACTGGACAGTGATATTTAATTCTAATTACATGGAACTGTGTTACTATTTAAAGTGCAACTGAAGCCAACACTTTTTATTTAGTTTTGGATAGAGTGGAGTGGAGTTAGAACCCAATTTAGGGTTTTATTGCTGTCTGTGTGCCCGTTTTCACCCCCAAAGTTTGTCTTGTGACCATTATCACGGACAGTGAATACCACATTTCGGATTGTCACCAGAACAGGAAGCGATGAAGAATCTTCCAATGGGGGCACTAGCGCTGGTGACCCTGCTGGCACCCTCTCACTTCCTGTTGTGTCTATTACATAGGAAGTGAAGGGAAATCTCCCCAACGGGACAGAGATGGCTGTCCCATTGGGGAGAAAAAAGCTGAAAGGGGTTATAACCCTGCCTTGCGCTATTCAAAACTAAAAAAAAAAAGAGTTTAGGCTTCAGTTTTACTTTAAAGAGGACCATCAGTCCACTACCTTTGCCTCCTGAGCTCCCTGTATAGTACAAATGGAACCTTTTTTTGGGATATCTTTACTTGCCGTCTGCTGGGATATCCCCATCATATATCCCAGGAGGCTGCAGGGGCACACAGCAGCAAGTGGGTCTGTACGTGCGGGCAGATTCCAGTGTGAATGAGGGCTTAAGGTCAACCCTGCCTAAAGGTGCCCATACACCTGCCGATTATCGCACGATAATCGCTGGTGATCCCGCGATCGTACGATAATCGGCAGGTGTATGGAAGGCGTGCGACCATTTCTACTGTACAGTCACACGTGCCGAAGGGGCCGGTGGCACACTGCTCGCTCAGCATTGGAATCATCGAAGCCCTCCCCTCAGCGGGGAGGGCTTGCGATGATCACAAGTACCATCTGCCTGTCCAATATGGGCAGATCGTACGAGATTTTAATTACCTTACAACCATCACCCAACGAAAGTCGTGTGATGGTTGTAAGGTGTATGGCCAGCTTAACAGAAAGGGGGAAAAAAAGCAGAGGTGAAATTCCTCTTTAATAGACAATTTTTTTGAATCTTACCAACACACATGTTCACATATTGATAACGGCACAGAGTGGATGCTAGGTAGGAGCCCAGGTGCGTTCATCAATCTCAAGCCTGGGTTAATTTCTTCCCTAACGTGTAGCACATTTGTACCCAGATAGCAAGCAATTGAGCTGCAAGTTTGAAAATGACTTGCTAAGCTATTGCAGACTTGCCAAGCTTCACAATTTTGTTGCACAATTACAGCAAGTCTGCATTGCAAGTCTCCAGATCAACATGCTTTGCAAAAGTGCTGTACACTTGCAGAGCTCTTGCTAAAGGTGGCCATATATTTTACAACCATCGCAAGACTAAGGTCTTGCAATGGTTGTAAAGGTTGTAAAAGTTTGTAAAGTACTTAAAAAAACGTACAATTTGCCCATCTTGGACAGGCAGATCGTACTCTCTATCATGGCAAGCCCGCCCCCCTGAGGGGCGGGCTTACGATGACTGTAATGAGGGGCGGGCTTACGATGACTGCAAACAGGCAGTGTGCGCGTGCGCA